CCATGGCCCCCCTGGAACGCTGCATGGCTGAAGCCGTGGGCGCAGCAACTGCTCTCCGGGGCTGAGGAGCAGGCAGCGCCGGGCGAGAGCTGCGCACACTCGCTGCGCTCCTGGTGCGAGGCTGGGCCTGCCCCTTGTGTTCAGGGCACCAGAGCCCTGCCTCTTCCACCGAGCTGCCCCAGAGGAGTCACACACAGCAGCTGGAGGGGAAGCAAGACAGAGAAGGCTGCACCCGCCGCCCCAGGGAGACCTTGGCGCAGGACTGGGGGACAGAGGCAGCAGGCTTAGCTCGGGGCAGACACGCTGCCAGTGCAAACTGGTGCCTTGCTCACCCCATACACCAACCCCTCTGCCGGGGGGCTCCCAGCCTGAAGCAGACACGGCCCGGGCCAGGCACCTCTGCACGTGCACAGCCACCAGCCGCCTGCCATGATGGGGGCAACTCGGCCTTGGCAAGGCGCCTCGAGCAGCCACGCCCCAACGTGGCACCGTCAGGCTAATCCCTGTGCAAGGGCCACCACACCGCCCCAGCCACCCAGCTGCAGTTCGTTAACCCTGAGCCGGCGGAGGGTACAGGAGCCGAACAGGATCGGCACCGAGGCAGGGCGAGGACGCTGGGCCCCAGACAGGAAACCCTGAGCCAGCTGTGGCCCAAGCTGGCTCTAGGAAATGGGGGGCTCAGCGCACTAGCACAGCCGGGGTGAGCACATGAGCAATGAGCGCTGGGAGGAGCAGCACTACACGGCCAAAGCCGGTCGGTAACAGGAGCTGGTGGACGTGGGGGTGCACATCACCAGCTCTCCTCGGGCACAGAAAGCCTCTGGGAATCCGCCAGCTCCACTGAGAGCCAGGTGAGAGGCCACACACCAACCCCCGGCAGGACCGCGAGCACAGATGGGGCCAGAATTGCGGGGGGTCACTTCCCATTCGCGTTCCCAGAGGAGCCAGGCGCCCCACTGCGCCGGGAGCTGTACAAAGACAGCAGGGAGCTTCCAGGCTGACGCAGCAGCAGAGACCACAGCTGAGCAGAGGTAGATGGACCAGGGAGCCCGAGGAAACGGCGAGACGATGATGAAAGGGACCAGACAGACACAGGGCAGGGGAGAGTGGAACACACGGGCACAGGGAGCGCTGGGATGGGGGCAAACGTCACTGCTGTGCCAGTGGGTGGAGGCGGGGAGTGGGGGGGAGTCCTGGGAAAGGAG